TTACAAGCCCAAAACCATTTATACAAATATTTATCATAAGCAAATATTAATGAAAACAAACATAGGCCCAAAATTTTATTTTATTTTATGAATATAATGGGTTAGGCCCAATCTCCAGACCCAACCCATCTATCCCCTTATCTGTATGAACCAAACAATTAATCCAACCATAACCCGAGCCGCGGCAAATTATGCTGTGCATCCGTATGCACCATGCATGGTGCATACGGATGCAAAAACGACGTCGTTTTAATAAAACGCGTGTCTCTCCTTTAAAAAAAAAAATCAGGTTCGATTCCCAGCAACAACATATGAACTAAAATTCCATAAATCCATAATCGATGAACTATAATTCCATAATCTAATCTATAAACTAAAAATTCCAGAATAAATGAACTAAAATTCCATAATCTATAAACTAAAATTTCAGAATCGATGAACTACAATTCCATAATCGATGAACTATAATTCCATAATCAATGAACTATAATTCCATAATCTATAAACTAAAATTCCATAATGAATGAACAATATAATGTTGTTGCTGGGAATCGAACCTGAATTTTTTTTAAAAGAGAGACTGCGTTTTTTAATAAAACGACGTCGTTTTGGCATCCGTATGCACCATGCATGGTGCATACGGATGCACAGCATAACGATTGCCTAGCCGCTGCTGATCGGAAAAGGATGGGAGAAAGCTGCGGTGTATAGCGGGAGAGAGAACGCCAGAATGGGACCCGGCCGGAGCACCGCCGCTCGCCACCGTCACCCGAGACCTAGCGCCGCCATCCCTCCGCCATCTCCCACAGCCGCACCAACCAACCGTGGCCAACAAGCAGAGGGAGTACGATGGAGACAGTGTCGCCGCCCACGGTCTGCCAGCCTCGTTGTTTACCAGAAAGGGCAGCGATGACGCTACCGCCGGGAACCGTGCTTCGCCGTTGTCATCCAAGCCCCGTCGCCTGCTGTTGCCAGAAGAAAGGGAAGCAGCGACGTCGCTCGGAACCAGCTTCGCCGCCACCGCCTGTCATCTACATCGGTAACCGGAGAAAATGGCGCACTGACGACCATCTGAAACCGTTACATGGTCGTCGACCGAAGATCGGAAACGGCAAACAAATCCAGCGAATGCAAAAGGCAGCATGTTCAATTTTTATTTTTATTTTTTATTTTTTTTCAAAAACATTTGTATATTTCGAAAATACAAATTATACAGAAAAACGGAGCAATATGAATACAGAACAATATATATCCATATATATTTACACACATACGGCATACTGGATTTTGGATTCATATATAAAACAAATTCATAGGAAATCATTATATCCAAATATTCAAATTGCATATATATAAGATATTTATTCTGTTTTTCAGAATAGATTATTGCAAAACATAAGCAACTTGAACAACTAGGCAGAGATAAAAAGGCTTTGATACCAAATGTTAGAAATATACAAATCAATACATGTAAATATGTAATCTAACCTTGATAGCGGAAGCATATGATTGAGCATCTCCAGCCATAGTTGTAATCTCTGTTGCATTGCTTTGAAGAACAGTAAAGAACTGTGTTTTGTTTACCACTTGGTCTCCTATTCAACTAGATGGTGTAGTCTATAAAACTGTATCACAAGAGCAGTGTGAGGACCTATGCTTAAATAGTCTGTGTGCAATCATTATAGGCTCCGTAACGAAAACAATTATGTCCGTTTTAAACCACAATCATAATGGCCATAATTTGCTATTTACTTGCACCACTTAATGGTGGCATAATGATAATGGAAAATGTTACACATCGGATAACCACAGATATTTCTAGACTAACCTCTTTGAACCATCTCCAATCCTTCCGCAGTATATCTTGGCCGGCTAAAATTGATCGCCAACAGGAGCTGGGGTTGGCTCCTATTTTTGCCTTAAAAAAATCATCATTCGGGAAATATCTAGCCTTATAAATCTGGGCTGCCAAAAATGTAGGATTTGTTAATAAACGCCAACCTTGCTTCGCAAGTAAAGCAATATTGGTCTTATTTAAATCCTTAAAACCAAGTCCTCCAACCGATTTGGGTTTACACATCCGTTTCCAAGAAAACCAACAGACACCCCCACATTGATTACCACGGCTGCACCACAAATATTGATTCATTATCCTTTCAATGTGATCACAAAATGATGAAGAAAGATAATAAATGCTCATAGTATAAGTTGGTAATGCCTACACAATACTTTTCAATAACACTTCTTTACCTGCTCCGGAAAGAATTTTCTTGTACCAACTTCCTAGACGGTGCCTTAATTTTATTTTGAGATAGGAGAAAATTTTCCATTTATTACGACCAATTCCCATTGGCAAACCCAAGTAAGAACCAATATTTGCGGCAACATTAACATTCAGAACACGAATAACGCCATTTCGAGCAACATCTCCTGTATTCCGGCTAAAGAAAATAATATAATAGAGGGTAAATAAGGAAAATCATTAAAAACTACTAAAATCAAAATAATATGAATCATTCATTTTAAGAAATAATTATACCGATATTTTTTTTTGTTTCAGTTAAGGGCCTAAAAGTAATTATAGTAGATTTGTACCGGTTAACTAGTATTCATATTAGTTTGGGCGGGAAAGTTGAAGATGAGGATTTTACTTTTATTAATATTATAGGTATAGGCATTATAGATTATAGATTATAGATCATCGATAGATTAGATTATAGATTATAGATTATAGATATTATAGATTATAGATTATAGATATATTGTAAATTATATATATATATATATATATATATATATATATATATATATATTATAGATTAATTAGTATTCATATTAATTTGGGTGGGAAAGTTGAAAAGGATGATTTTACGTTTATTAATTAATTAATATAATAATAATAGAATTATGGATATTATAGATTTTAGATCATAGATTATAGATTATAAATATATTATAAATTATAGATATAGATATGATAGATTGGTGTAAATAATAATTAATAAATTATTATTTTCGTATAAAATTATACAAAATTTCAAAGTAATTTTTTCATTTATTACGCAGAATTTGTTTCCATTATTCTCACAATTATAATGATTTAATTATACTAAGAATTTGGTAACCATTTTCCATTTTCAAGTACCAATTGACTTTAATTTGTGGTAACAATTCATTAGATATTAGTTAATTTTCATATAAAATTTTGTTACAAATTAAGCTTTATTTATTTTTGTACAATTAATTAGTATTCAAATTAGTTTAGGCGGGAAAGTTGAAGAGTAGGATTTTACTTTTATTAATATTCCTATTATTATAAATAAATTATAAATTATAAATATGGTTATTACTTAGGATGTGTTTGGTTTCATGTGTTTACACATCAGGAATGAAATTCAAACTCATAGTTAGTGTTTGGTTGACAATTTTTTAAAACACAATTATGAGATTTAATTACCCTCAATTAAAAGCATTATCCCATAATTAAAAACCGGTATCATTCCATTTTATTGGTAATCTAATTTTTTAAGTTTGGATTAGTGCTTTTAGATTTTTCTTTTGTTTTTTTTTTTTGTTCATGTTTTGGATGTCATTATATTAGGATCAATTGTCTTGATTTTTTATTTTTGTATTTTTAAAACCTTTATTCCTATTATACTGTCATAAATAACCAAACATCAGTATTGATAATCATTCCAATTTCACTCTACTACCAAACATGAAAAATATTTTTACCAAAACTCTTTACTATTACCAAATATTTGATTTCAATTCCCATTCTGATTCTCATGTGCAAACCAAACACACCCTTAGGGCTTGTTTGGTTCACGGAAAATATTTTAAGGGAAGCGGAATTGAAATTCCATGGAAAAACAATTACTATGAAGATGAATTTCATTGTTTGGTTGGTGTAAAAAGAATTACTGGGAATACTAATTCTATTGTTTGGTTAGATTTGAAATGGTAAGGAATAACGAGTATAAAGACCTATATGCCCCTACAAATTAATAAAAGTAATATAATTAAAAAAAAAAAAAGTAAACAAGGGTAAAATAGGCATTCCATCTCACTTTTTCTTCCCATCTTCCATGGAAAACAAAATCCTTGGTCCAACCAAGGATTTTGTTTTCCTCAAATTTGAGGAATTCATTTTCCAATGGAAAATGAATTCCATGAACCAAACACAAGAAAACAACATTTTCCTCCACTTTAAGAAAAATGTTTTCCTTTGAAAAACATTTAAGGAAAACATTTTCCATGAACCAAACATCCCCTTATTATTTACGGTTGTAATTCAATAATATTACTTTGGGCAAATAATAATAATAATAATAAGGAAAAAGTGTAAAATAAGCTAACCCGTCAAATTTTTACTATTTGTGTAAAATGCTGAACAAAAAAATGCAATTAAATCATTTAATGTTATTACAAAAAATGTGCAATTGAACCATTTAATGTTCGTTACCAAAAGTGTGCAATTGAACTATTTAATGTATGTTATCAAAAGTGTGCAATTGATATTTTTAACGGGTAGAAAACAGGTTTCCGGTCATTTTTTCTTATGACATGTTCAAAAAAAAAATTATATTTTAAATTTCTTTGACAATTTTACTATATTAATAAAATTAAAAATTAAATTTTCTTTTGAAAAAAAAAAAAAAAGGAGGCAGCCCTCCTCCCCCAAGCCCCTTTTTTATAACTTGCAATTGGATAGATATACACGTCACGATGTTGAAAATAATCCACCAACAAGTCTTTGCCCATTGATATGCCGATGATATCAACTTAAGTAATACTATAAATATTTGCGCCGCTCTGGTTAAATATATAGTATAGTAATTATTATTAAAATGGAATGCGCATCAAAAATGTAAAAATTCGAAATTGTATTACATAATAATTAATTTTAAACCTTAGAAGCCTTGCCCCTCAAGGAAATTCCTTATGAAGTCTCCATTTTGAGCCCGATATTTTTCAAGAATCCCGAATACCTGCGTCTTTCCAACTATAAAAACGTGCTGCGGTTGCCTCTCAAACCCCCACTCTCTCCCCTATCTTCCCTCTAGCAGTCTTCGCTGTGCAGTGAGGTTAGAAACATTCTTTTTTTTGTTCGTAAATTTTAAGGGTTTTTTGGTTGATTTCTGTTGTGGGTGGCGTCTTGTGTTCTTCTTTCTGAGCCTGTGAATTTAGAAACATTTGTTTGTTGATATATATAATAAAAAACAAAGGGGTTTTAGGGTTTTTTTAGTTGATTTATATTGTATGTTGCATCGTGTGTTCTTCCTGTGAGGGTATAAACATTCTGTTAGTTGTTCATAAAAAAACAAAGGGGTTTAAGGGTTTTTTTTTTGGTTAATTGATCTCTGTTGTATGTGGTGTCTTGTGTTCTTCCTGTGAACCTTTGAGGTTATAAACATTCCGTTGTTCATAAAAAAACAAAGGGTTTTAAGAGTTTTTTTTGGTTGATTTTTGTTATATACGGTGTCTAGTGTTGATTGCAATCTTTGACAGTAAAAAAAGATAGAAAAGATTTGATTTTTTATTTGTTTTTGTTTATCCCAGTTTATCTTTTGGCTTTGTAGTGTTTGTTTACCCCAAGTTGCAGTCTTTGAGTGACAAGGAAACTCGCATGCATTAGAATCCTAACCATAGTTTACCTCCTTAGGGTTGCCCTAGTTTTTGGCTTCTTAGGGTTAACGGCGGGGTTAAGGATTCTGTCTTTAAAGTTTGGGATTCGGAGTATTGGAAATTAGGGTTTTTGAATGTCTAATTTGTAGGTCTCTTTAAGATCAGAAATTTACTGCACCTTGTGTTTACCACCATTATTACATGTTTTTTGATGCAGAGATGGCAGGGACCCTCTCTACTGAGACTGTGGGGAAAGTCTTTTCTCAGCAGTATTACACCATTCTGCGTATTAAGCCTGAGGAAAGCTACAAATTCTATGAAAATTCAAGTGTGGCAACCTGGGATGATGCCAAGGATTCTGTGACAACACTTGATGTAAGTACCATGTCACTGTTCTTTTCGATTTTCATTATTCCATTCTCTTTTTCTAGGTTGCCTGTTTCTTGAAACTGTTAATGTTGTCCTGTTTGTGTTTTTTGTCAATTTTCATGTTCTGCAACACATGTTTCAGGGAATTTGCGAGATGATCATGGCTTCCAACTTCAAGGGCTGTCCGGTTGAAGTGAAAGATGTTCACTCCCAAGATTCCTTACAAGGAAGCATTCTTGTTGTGGTTACTGGTCTTGCCACCTGGAAAGACAATTCGCGGAGAAAATTTAGCCAAACGTTTGTTCTTGCTAAACATAGTACTGGTTTCTTTGTCATGAATGATATTTTGCGGTTTTTTGATGACAAAGAACCAAAATCCCCATTGGTTGCTGATTCAGGTAGTTATATATGTATGTATATCTTTAGTTATAAACTAGTCTGTATATAGTACATATTAATTGGATAATGTTGCATTCGTAGAAACATTAAATAATGTCTCTTCAGAACCCGCCCAAGAATCGGTTGATATATCCATACAAGTGGAAGAATCCTCTACTGATGCTGATGGGAAGAGTGCTTCTGCAGATTCAATTGATGTTAAAGTAACAGTCGAAGAAGTTGCAGAAACTCGGCCTAAGCAAACGGTTTCTGAGGTTGTTTCCGACGTGAAGGATCCTGCTCCTAAGTCATCTTACTTAGAAATGGTTAGTATATATGTTTTTCTTATAGAATTCCACAAATATGGTGCGTAAAGTTTTTGTTTATGTAGTTAGGAATAATCATACCGTGTTTTACTGTAGTTGTCGAAGGGGAAAACATCCTCGACCCCTGCACCAACAACCCGGTTTGTCAGGGTGTCTGCTTTCGATGATCTCTCGGGGCAAGAAAAGGCGAAACCACTTGCTGCAGCACAAAAAGGTTCGCCTAAGGCCATGTCTGTGGCGGCTTCCACTGCCGACAATGTGACCAAAGACGAAGCTCCTCCAACTCCAACCAAAACTGCAGCAGAGACTATTCGTGCCCGTGAGTGTAAAATCAGTTTTTTTTGGTTATGTTGTATATAACGCGTGCATATATTGCATACTGAACCATTATCGTCGTGTTTAATTTATATGGTTTCCAGCAAAGGGAATATACGTTGGGGGATTGCCACCGAATACAACCGTAAATGATCTCACCGATGCTGTCAAGAAATTCGGTAGAGTCAGAAACGTTGAAGGTGTTCAAGTCGTCGTGTTGGAGGATAAATACTGCTATGGATTTGTACACTTCCAATCTGCTGATTCTGCAAAGAAGGCAGTTGAGGTAGTAACTTAATTAAGACCTTGTTTAGTACTCCTAAGTCATATAGTGTCTCAAGTATATATATATATAAATCATCTTGGATTCTTTCAGGCTCAAGGCATCACTGTAAAAGGAAAGGAGGCTTACATTTCTTACAAGAGACTTGGGAGGAATAATGCAAGAGGTAATACAAAAAATGGGTCAAATTTCAATTTGTTTTCTTGATTTTCGTGCCTTTACCAGCCTCCGCCCAACTCGAACACAATTCAAAATTGACCACGGTTGAGTTTGTTTAGGAATATGAGTTTGTCTTGTACTAGGAATGGGAGTGAAGCGGGTGGAGGATTATATGCCTATAAATGTATTGGTTTTATCTCTAAGGGGTTGTGTCAGCACTAACACCATTACTATGAATATAAGAATTGTTTCACCCTCGTGGGTGTAGGCACTTTGCCGAACCACGTAAATCTTGCTTTTCTTTACCCTTATGCCATTATCAGTGTTGTAAAACTCGGCTGCCTAGCCGCCTAGGCGCTAGGCGGCCACTTGCCTTGGAGTTTTGGCCTATAGGCGGCCAAAACTCGGTCGGCCGCCTAGGCGGCCGCCTGGGCGGTCAAACTCGGCCGAGTCGACCGATTTCGTCCGATTTTGACCGTTTTGACCGATTTTGATCGATTTTGTCTAATTTTGACCGATGTCGTCTTTCATTAATTATTGATTTTAATATTATTATTGACATTATGACTTATAAATTATCATTATTTCATTTATTTAGATGTGTTATTTGAGTGAACGTTGAAAACAACCTCATTAAAATTGTCGAACTACAAGTCTTACACTATTTTTTTTAATTTTTTTGGTGCCCGCCTAGCGCCGCCTAGAATCCGCCTAGGCGTTAGGCGCTGCCTGGCCGCCCGACTAGCGCCTAGTGCAACCTTGGCCATTATTATTGTTTCTTGTTCTTGTTAATCTCAACAACCACAAACTTGTGATATATGCAGCTGCTGCAAACGGCAATGACAACCGGGGCAGGTCTCCATCGGGCAGAAGCAAACCCAATAGCCGAGCTCCATCGTGCAATGGCCATTCTAGCAACGGTGAGACTCACCATTCGGGCGCAAACCAGCACAACAACAACAACAACGAGAATGGACACAAAAGTTTAGATGGAAGCGGTGGAGAAGCCGATGGGTGGATTGAACCGAGAAGGAGGAGGAGGAGAGGGAGGGACCAAAGGAGCAATGGCGAAGCACTTCGAGATCACACAAGTGGCACTGCAGCCACTAGCCAACAGTAGAGAGATATCTTCTTTTGTTTTGTTTTAAAAGGCTTATAGTTTTTTTGGTCCTCTTGGAACTATTACTATCTCATTGAAATTATTGAGTTTTCTTCTTTAACCTAAATTGCCTATGAGATATGATCATCGAATCATATATTTTCTTATATATTGTGTCTATATATAGTATGTGTTTTTATATATGCTACCATAAATAATGAAAATATATTATGGAAAGCTATAATAACCGATAATATATTATAGAAACAAATATGATATTTTTCTCCTGTAAATTTACTTCATAGTGTTCGTATCTTTAAACTTAGAAAAAGCATCATGTAAGATATAAGACCTAAATTGCCTGAGTTATGATCATATATTTCTTATTGTGTGTCCATATATATGACCATATGGACCATATATAGTAGGTTTGTTTATATAGAAAATATTACATGTACTCTTATTTATGCTTTCAAATTTCTACTCTCACACTTAGGGGGTGTATTCAATCATGACTTTTGTAGAGTTTTAAAGACTTTTAAAATGATAGATTTTAATAAACTTTGATTGACTTTCATAGAGTCCTTCAAAAATTTTTAAAACTTTATAAGACTATCTAAAAGTCTATATAAAAAACATTCATAGACTTTTATTAACTTTTTATTTTAAAAAGTCTACAAAAGTCATTGAAATTCTAAATTGAATACATCCTTACAAACTTTCAATGATTTTGATTCTTATCATTTACAATTTTCTTACAAAACATTTATAATATATCATAACATTCTTCTTATTATATAGTTCTTCACCCACATCAACATTCTCAACATTATTATTTTTATCCATAGTATGCTGAGACTTATATGCTAGTTACTTATATATATTATTAATAAACATCAACAAAAAAAAAAAAAACTATTTCATTAGAAATTCATAACAATATTGAGCAATAAAATTTATAATAAAAGATAGTTAGGATAAAAAATTCATAGAAAAAAATAAAAATCAATATAAACAAGCAATAATGAAGTAAAAATAATATTATTTCGAATTTTTAGATGAACATTCTAAAGTTTAGGAGAGAGAGAAAAATTGGTAGAGTTTATGTATAACGAAAATATAGGATAATGAAGAAAAAATAATTTTATTGAATTTAGATAGGTTCATATAGAGCCGTCAAAAATGGGTTTTACCCGTCGGGTCGACCCGTCTCGTACCGCCATAGGTAGGGGATGGGTTCTTCAAATTTTGATCCGCCAGGAGGCGGGCTTTTTAGCCCGTCCCGCCTGGGTCATGGGTCCAGGCGGGGCGGGTCAGGCGGGTCACGGGTTTAGCCCGCGACCTGCTAATACATATATATTTTGTATATATATTTAGTATTTAATACATGTTATTTTGGTTTGTATAATTGTGTTAGTGTGTTATAACTTATAGGATTATAGATTTATAGGAATACAATACTAGGTAGTGTTACTGTGTTAGTGTACTGTATGTCTGTACAGTGATTCTTTTTTTTTTTTTTTTTAAGGATATTGTACAGTGATTTTTTTAAAAAAAAAAAATTAACACAGCGAAAAATTTTGATTGGCGGGCTAGCCCGCCCCGCCAGCGGGCTTTGACATGGCAGGGCGGGCCGGCCACATTCCAAGCCCGCTAAGAGGCGGGCTTTTTAGCCCGTCCCGCTACGAGGACGGGCTTTGGTATGTTTTGGCCCGTCCCGCCCCGCGAGACCGTTTCGACGGCTCTAGGTTCATAGAGTTTAAATAGGGAGAAAAAAATAGAGTTTAAATAGAGAGAGAAAACATTCAAAAGTTGTTAGAAAGAGAATTTGAAATCTTGGGATTGATGATTGGATTTCAACTATTTATATTTGAGAAGGAAAAGTCTACAAAAGTCTTAAAATTAAAAAAGTCTACAAAAGTTCGTAACTTTTTGAATACCACATGACTTATAAAGATTCTTTAAAAGTCTTAATCGAATACCACACGACTTCTAAAGACTCTTTAAAAATCTTGATTGAATACCGTCTAACTTTTAAAGACTCTCTAAAAGTTTGAATTGAATACCTCCAAACTTTTAAAGTTCATAAAACCCTCTAAAACTCTATGAAAGTCATGATTGAATACACCCCCCTTAAAATAGACACTTAGGACTTATATGAAGAAAACAATTTATCAGAGTCTATCAGGCTACATTAAGAAGTAAATTTGAGGAAATAAGATTAGGAATATATGTAATAGAACTCGTGTTCATTTATTTAATCGGTACATGATAATACCACCATTATCAATACAATTACGAAGTCAAAAAGGTACTACTACCATCAATATCGTTTACTTTATACTAAAGGTTGACTAATGCAACTAAACGGTAATTTAATTAGAAAAAAAAAAAAAAAAAAAAAAAAAAAGAGGAAGAAAATTGGTAAGGGGTTGTGAAAACACTAGTGTATTTCTTTGAGTAGTAAAAGTTTCAAACTGATCTGATTAGAAGCCCTTATTCAGTGTATTTATATACGTTGGAGCGATTAATGCCCAAATATGAACTAAATCCTTAATGGCCCGTTTGGTTCACGGAATAGGCCGGAAATGACATAGCATTCCTAGTAATAGGCCTATTCCTTTGTTTGGTAACTATTTCTATTACCAGGAATAATATTCCTGGTAATAGCCTATTACCTCAAATAAGGTAATAGCTATTACTAGGGCCCCCTGGTATTAGCCTATTACTGAACGCTCAGGAATAGATTTTAGAATCTATTTTTTTTACCCTTTTCTTTAACCTAATTTTTTATCCTATATATAAATTTATCCTATTTCACCACCGTCGTCGCCACCACCACCACCATCGCCACAACCGTCGCCGCCCCCACCACTTCCACCGCCACCACCACCACTACCACCCCAGCACCACCATCGCCACCACCACCATCGCTGCCGCCGTCGCCACCACCAGCACCGCCACCAGAACCACCACCCAGCAGCACCATCGCCACCACCACCACTACCACCCCAGCAGCACCACCACCACCATCACCACCACCGCCACCACCATCGCCACCACCACCACCACCGCCACCACCCTCGCTATCATCACATATTTTTATAAGGGTATTTATGTCTTTTAAAACATATTTCATTTCTATTCCTTAAATCAACCAAACACTGTAATATAATTCCTAAAGTCTATTCCTTCCGCGAATCAAACAATAGAATACAATTCCTATTCTATTCCTTGCCTATTCCATTCCTTATGGAATAACATTCCTATTACCTCAAAATTCATTCCGTGAACCAAACGTGCTGTAAAATCTTTCTGATTATTTACAAATTTATTGATTACAATTTTCAAAGAATGGAAAATAATATATTAAAGCATGGTACGTAATAAATCACACCCAGATTATACCTTCTCCCCCCCCCCCCCCCCCCCCCCCCCCCCCCAAAAAAGGTTGAATCTTATCTCCAACTCTAAGGGCCTTTCACACCTCGGCCCGACAAAACATTTGAGAGGATGTAAATTTTCAGTTAAGTTGGCATTAATCGTTTGTGATGGAAGAACAGAAAGATATGATCTAACAGACTGGAAAAGTTGACTTTATTCATCAAGATGACAATATATATACACAAGTATGGCTCTAACCGTTCTAACTACTTAGCCATGATGGATTTACATAAAGGCCCTTTAGCTTTTCATGCAGCAGTGTTGTTCTCTCCTAATACCCCCGTAAACTGGAGTATGATGATCCTGAATGCCCAGTTTAGATGTGAACAATTGATAGGATGAGATTGAGAGAGCTTTGGTAAAACCGTCTGCAACTTGATTTGACGATGTCACTGAGAGAAGTTTGATGAGCTCTTGATTAAGCTTTTCTCGCACGATGTGGCAATCTATATCTATGTGCTTTGTACGCTCATGGAACACGTGGTTCTCTGCAATGGCAATCGTGGATTTGTTATCGCATAATAGGGCAGCAGGCTTCTGTGGTTCTATCTGCAAGTCATGCAGCAGTGTTGTGATCTACTGGACTTCACAAATGGTGGCTGCCAAGGCACGATATTCAGCTTCGGAGGACGAACGAGAAACCGTGGCCTGCATCTTTGATCTCCATGATATAAGTGTAGAACCCAAAAAAATATAGAATCCTGTTATAGACCTGCGAGTATCTGAGCAAGATGCCCAGTCAGAGTCTGAGAACACATTGAGTTGCATCCTGCTGGATTTCAGATAGAACAGGCCTTGGCCACGGGCCTTCTTGATGTACCCGAGAACTCGGTGTGCTGCTGTCATATGCTCAGTTGTTGGTTTGTCAACATATTGGCTAAGTTGTTATACAGCGAATGTTATGTCCGGTCTTTTGCAGTAAGGTAGAGTGGCCTGCCAACAAGACGCCTGAAGGCAGAAGCATCGTTGAGGATGGTGCTTCCTTATTTGGTCAAGCGAATTCCAGGAACCATAGGAGTATTAACCGGCTTGCAATTGATAAAACCTGCCTCATCTAGAATGTCCAAGGCGTATTTTCTCTGACATAGGATCCGGCTTTCGTCATGTGAGCTTCGATTCCCAGAAAATAACCCAATGAACCGAGATCTTTAATCTTGAAGGATGTGTCTAGGAAGGCTTTGAGTTCTTTGATTAACTGTAAATTGGGGCTTGTTACTAGTATGTCATCCACGTATACAAGGATGGCAATGAAGTCTTTAGCATTCCCTTTAGTAAATAGAGAAGGATCAGATATAGATTGCTTGAAACCTCTATGAATTAGTGCATTACTTAGCTTGGCATTCCATTGCCGGCTAGCTTGTTTTAGGCCATAGAGGGATCTCAACAGCTTGCATACTTGTCCTGGATGTTCTCCTTGAAACCTGGGTGGTGAGACCATGTATACCTCCTCATCTAGATCTCCATGGAGGAACGCATTGTTGATGTCTAACTGATGAATGAACCAATCCCGGGAGGTTGCCATGGCTAGGAAGGTGCGAATGGTAGTGATCCTTGCAACTGGTGAAAAAGTTTCAATGTAATCTATTCCCAATTGCTGAGTGTAGCCCTTGGCTACTAGCCTATCCTTGTGGCATTCTACTGAACCATCGGCCCTTAGATTTACCTTATACACCCACT